TTTTTTTTTTTGATGGATAGACTTCGAAATATCTCAAGCTGTTCTCCTGTATCCAACACGTCCCTTTGCAGATCTCCTTGATATTTTTCCCTCCAATTATTAGTATTATCACCATTATTTTTTTTTTAGCTATTACAAGACTTTTTTTATTTCCAGATGTTAGTCCACACCTATTCCGCCATGGTGAGTTTGGATCCATGTTGTACTAGAATTGCATGTTCTCTCTCTCTCTCTCGATCTGTTGTGTCTCTCTCTCCCTCTCTCTGTCTTTTTAAACGCCTTTGGCTTGGTAATTTAGCACAATAATTGGAGGAGGCTTGCAGCTGCTTCTCCCTTTTTGCATTGTGTGTTCCCGATTTGAGCTAGGGGAGTCTGGGGGGCAGAGCAGGGGGGAAAAGAACTTTTTTTCCTTGTTGTTTTTCTTTTTTTTTTTTTTTTTTTTTTTTTTTTAAACCATGTGTGCCATTGCTTGTGGGGGTTTGAGCTACACTTTGTGGAATAGATATTTTTCTTGTTTACTTTAACCTCTCAGCTTCAGTGCGTTGGAGTTGGACAAAACTCCTCTCCCACCTTTTCTCTGAAGCCTCTACACACTCCCCCCACCCCCTGTCCCCCCCCACACCCCAAAGACTTTTCATTACAATTAACCCCCACCCCATTCTCTGGAATATAATATTGGAAAAGGAAACAAAAGACACTGGAAGTTGCTGCAGAAGTCATAGCGCCTGGATTTGTTCAATACCGATGTTTCATTTTTATTTGATTTGTTTTTTTAAAAAACTTATTTTTAAGGGGTGGTCTCCCTTTAAGCAAAGATTCCCTGTAATTTTTATTTCGGCTTTTTTTTTTTTTTTTTTTTTTTTTTTTTTTTTTTTTTTTTTTTTTAATCTTTGTCCCGACTCCTTCTTTAAAAAACTTATCACCTCGGAGTCTTCTGAGAAGTACAACTTTCTTTTTGGGCTTTTCCACGTGAAAATGGGTTGGTGATTTTGAGTTACAGGACTTGAGCAGAGGGAATAAACAGATGCTGGGAAACTTTAGGCAGAAGGGGTGGGTTGTCTAGATAGACGGGTGGCTCGGTGCTCTTAATTTTTTAATGCTTTTTTTTTTTTTTTTCTCCCCTTTGGTTTGATTTGAGGGGCTGTGGATTGGGAATTATACTACTGGTCTGAAATTGCAGATCGTATATGTATTTGGAGCACTAGTCCTACATTTTTAATTATGACATTTAGCAATTCTCCCTCACATCCCCCTCCCCTACCCCCTCCTTGCTAGTTCCTGGGAATAGACACGATGGGAGTGCAAAACACTGGAACACTTCTAATAAGTGGCGGGGGAAGGGGGCACATCTGAATCCTACTTTCCAGCTGTTTATGTCCTATTTTATTTTATTTCACTTCGGGTTGGGTTTGTGCTCTTTTTACTTTTTTTTTTTCCTCTCTTTTTCTTTTATTTTTTTAAAAAAAGTCCTTTTTTTGTTGTTGTTTGTCTGTCATTCCGCCCGTAGGACCGGCATGATGGAGTGCCCAGCCACAGTTCCAGGCTGTCCCAGCTGGGATCCGTCTCGCAGGGACCCTACTCCAGCGCTCCTCCGCTCTCTCACACCCCATCCTCGGATTTCCAGCCGCCTTATTTCCCACCCCCCTACCAGCCTCTTCCTTACCACCAAAGCCAGGACCCTTACTCCCATGTCAATGACCCCTACTCCCTAAACCCCTTGCATCAGCCCCAGCAGCACCCCTGGGGACAGAGGCAGAGGCAAGAGGTGGGATCAGAAACCGGGTCACTGCTGCCACAGCCTCGGGCCGCCCTGCCCCAGCTCTCGGGACTGGACCCCAGGCGGGACTACCACTCAGTTCGGAGGCCAGATGTCCTCCTGCACTCAGCTCACCATGGCCTTGACTCCGGCATGGGGGACAGCCTTTCTCTGCATGGCATCGGACACCCCGGCATGGAGGAGGTCCAGGTAAGGCACCGCGTTTCTTTCTCCTGGGCAGTGCGGCTGGAGCCCCCGTCTCTGGGTTAGGAATGGTCACCGAGGGGTTTCCAGCAATATTGCTGTGGGTTGCCATTGTTTTTCCACACCGGGTTTGTAAATGTGGTAGTCCCCTTCCCTCTCCCTCTATTCATTTTTTATTTTTTAATAAGAATTTATTTCCTGGCTGTCACGCACAGTCTCTGCATTATAAACCCTTCCCTACATGGCAAAGCAGCAAAGTGCAGGGGAAGGCAGACATGCTGCTCTAAATATTCCACGTGTTTCAAAAGCTGGCAGAGTTCAAGCTTGGCTTTTCAAATTCCAGTTATTTCCCATGCAATCTCAGCTTCCACTCCCCTCCACCCTCCCCTCCTCCCCCCCAACCAATTTCCTGCCGTTCAGAGATTTTGATGAAACTGTCGAATTACTACATTTTTCATCCGGGAGGGAGGGAAATTATAAACAAAACCCAAACCAAAAGCAATAACTGGTGATCAGGAGCAAGTCCCGTGTCCTCACCCCCTTATTTGTTAAGTGTGCTTTGTAGCGTAGCACTGATTTTTAATAGTTTCATTCCCTCTTTTGGATAACAAAGGAGTTTCGCCAGGCTCAAAGCACAGTATTTCCCAGCTTTCTTCCATCCCACGCGAAACTCATCATCACGTGTTATTTCCTAAAAGCAGAAGGACCCTTAACAGCTTCGCTGCTGGGGTGGTTTGCACCTTGCTGGAGCAGGGCAGGGCCGGCCCGTGGGGACCCCCGAAAGGTGGGCTGGAGCCTCCAGGGTCCAAGTCCTGCCTCAGGCTCTCCTAATCGGGATTTTGGGGCTTCCCCTCCATGCGTTTTTATCTATATTTTTCCAAAATTTCTTTATCATATATTATATCTGCATATGTATTTAGTCTTGGGATAAATAAAGGTATAGAGCACCGAATGAAATAACTACTTCGAAGTTACAGAAAGGGAAAACGAAAGGAGAAAAGAGGAGATGGAAAGAGAGCCGTGAAAAAGGATGCTGCTGAATATGAGAGGAATGAGCTGCAGGGAAGTGGAGGACATGCATTGCTTTGGCTTGAGGCTTGTCTTAGGGCTGCACGGGAAAATCCCCGAGCTTTGCTGGGGAGAGATGTTTTAGAAAAAGGCAGGTTTTGCTGTTTGGATTTGCTCCTTCCTCCGAGCTCAGTGACCGCTGGGTCGCTGGTTTCTGCGGGTTTCCGAGGTGGCTTTGAGACCTGGGGGCAGCCCCTGGCCGCCACGGGTGCGATGCGCAGGTCTCGTCTCGCATTCCTGGCTCAGACAAAGTGGTTTGCAAGTCAAGGCGAGTTTTACCTCTGTGAATGCAGAAAGGAGATCGCTCTCCTCCTTTCTCTCTGCAGCCGATAGGCTTTAAGTACTGTTTGTGCCTGGATATTTACACTTTCCCCAAAGAATAGCCGGTAATTGTTGTGCTTTTGTGAGAAAGAGCTTAAAACAGAGGAGAGAGAAGGAAAGATTTTTTTTTTTTAAGAGAGGAAAAAGATAAAATGCAGAAAGGATGAAAGGAGAGAGGAAAAGAAGAGAAGACAGAGAGGAGAGGGAAAGGAGGGGGAAAGATAGGGAAGAAAGACATAAAGAAGGAAAGCGAGAGAAGTAATAATAGAAAAGAAGGAGCTCGAATAAAGCAGCTCTCCATCCGTTTCCCAATAAAACATCCCTTCTGCGGGAAGGGCACTGCCCTGGCGGAAAGTGCCTCCCCTCGGAGCTCCCAGAGCAGCGGGGCCACCCCTGGCCACCCGCGACCTGGCGGGCCCAGGGTGAGTGCGATGGGCTGGGGACAGGATGGGACAGGCGAGGCTGTGGGCCAGAAGGGCTGGGGTTCTTGGTTTGGGGTACTGAGACAGCAGGAGATTAAACAGGCCTCTTATTTCTAAAAGTTTGTTCCCAGGTTGGGGGAGGAGGGGAAGAGGGAGAGGAGGGTATCCCAAGGAGAAACACGTGAAGGAAGAGGTGTCCAACTGCAAGTTAACGCAGGCAGGAGGGAAAGCAGCCCAGAGCTCGCTGCTGCCGCTCAGCATTTTCTATTCTTGTCCCCCCAGCAGTGACAGATGAAGTTGGGCAGTTCTCCATCTTGATATTTAATATGGATTTATTCAGATTCGAGGAACCTTTTGTAGAAACAGGGATTTTTATTTAGGCGACGTGTACTCATTACCCACCATCACTAGATATAATTTCCAGGAAGGGTTTCAAATAGTGGTTGGTTTTCTGTCATATTCCAATAGTCCAAAAAGTTGAACGGATATCTAGATGTATAGTTGGATAAAGATGTTTTTCTTCGCTTTATCTTACGCATGTGTGATCAAATATGTGCCATGAGAATGGGCTGGGCTAAGGAGAAGGAGACAGAGAAAGAGAGTGCGTGACAGAAAGAAACAGTGGTTATTTTATAAACACCAAATCCAGTCCATGTGTGAGCCATTGTCCAGGGCTGGAATTAAGTGATTGTAACACGATAGCGCTCTGTTATTGTAAACAGGACACGCTGTATTGCTATTGCTGCCCCTCTCGAGAGGAATTTTCAATCTGCCATTTACAGCCTTCAGACAGGGAACGGAGAAGCCAGGACCTACTTATTGAACACAAATTTGCATCATCTAATAGAGGCTCTGGAAAAAAACCCTAGATATTTTTTTCCCCCACTGGCTGCGGAAAAGTGGGGTTACTAAACCCTAGAGTAGTACCGTTATTAAAAAAGTAATAAATAATTCGATGAAGGAAAAATGGAAGGGGAAATTCAGATTCTGTAGACTCTTTGAAGGACAATATAGAGCTCAGTTTTTGAGGTTTTCACTCAGATGTATCCATAGAAGTTGAATAAGGTGGTTATAGATAGTATTTAGGAAGATTCATGCTATCAGATTATTGGAGGAGGGAAGGGAGGGGAATCTTCCTCTCCAGATTTTCCAAGTATATCTGGAAACTCATCACCTTTCCCCTCCCTGCACACACACCTCCGCTCCTCCTCCTCACTCACGCTGCTACTACGTGCTAGCTAGAGACACGGAAAGTTAAGTTGCACCAAAACACCCAAGTCTCTTATAAAGTAACCCCTGGTATCACTTTTAACTAAAGAAGTCTAGTAATTAAAAGTCTGAGTTGTTTTTCCACGTTTCCGCATGCAGTCCTAATTAAATCTTTACGATCCTCTCTGTGACTATTAACTGCCAGCATGCTGAGCGAATATCCTGTACAAAAACCCAGCAGGAGGGCGTAATTAGATAGAAAATCAGACAGGAGTCTTCTCATTAACTACAACAACTAACCCACGTTGCTGATGGAGCGAGTGGAGTGCACGCACACACATAAAGGGTGCGCGCAACCATCGGCTCCAGAGATAAGGTGAGATAAGGAGGAAAGATAGGGGAAAAGGAAAAAAAAAAAAAAGAGGAAGGTGATGTTTCACCTTTACCTCCGTTTCTGTGCCACCGAGGTGCGCCACGCTGCAGGATTTGCTCATCATCCCTCGTCGGGAGCTGCTCAGGGAAAGGAGGGAAGACTTTGTAATTTTATTTTTGTGCCCTTTAGGTATGTAGCCTATTGATTACGAGAGAGAGACACACAGCCATGCCCAAACACAGCACATAAGGCACCGCTCTGTGTGTGCGCTCGTTTGAGGGTGGATTCAAGGAAAATGAAAGGAAAGCTCTCATAGAAAATACTGTTCCATCGCATTTTGGGGAGATGTAATTTTCCCCTAAACCGCATTCCATCTGGAATGTCTCCACTGAGCACAGAGGCAGAGATAAGGGTCGGATCCGAATAAGCTCAGCTTCTCGGCGTAGCGAAGATAAAGTTAAAATAATGGTGAAGTGAATCACTGCTTTCCTTAAAGGTGCTTTGCTTATCAAGGAAAAACGTCACAACTCCCCAAATATGCAATAACACTGAAAACCCCAAACCCCTTAGTAACAGTAATGGGAAAAATAAAATAATAAAGCCAAGAAACCCAAAGGTCCCCCTTTTTTCTCAGAATATACCCTAAAACGGAACCTGTCGGAATTCTGCAATAAATTGTTCTTATGACATTTCTTCTTTTTCGGAGCTGGCTTTACTCTGCCGAACGCAGATTCAGCAGTAATTTTGGTTTGTTTGGGGTTTGTTTTTTTTTGTATATTCCACTTTCGTTTTGAGAAATGAAACCAAACATTTGCTGTGTCCTCTGTGCCCGTCTTTGTTCTCTTCCCTGCTAAAGAAGTTAATGCCATAATAACAGGTGTGCTCCTCGGCGGGCTGGAAAGAAAGGAGAAAAACAGGGGGGAAATAAGGCTTTGAAATTCCGAGACTTTTTTTTGCTAGGCAATCAATTTGATGGTTCATACTTTTGATAATGTGTATTCTCGCTCCTCCCTCCCCGTCCCCACTAATTCAGGACATGGAAGCAACCTCGGGAGCTGTAAATCTCTTTCTGCTCATCCCTTGTACGATGTGGGAGTTGCACTGCGCTCCGAAAGGCTTAGGCTTTAATTAAAAGTTCATAATGTAAACTATGATATATAAAAAGTAAATGGCCCTTGAATTATTAAGATGTAGCAGGGTTAAACAAACAAACAAACAAAAAAAAAAAAAAAAAAAAAAAAAAGAAAAAGGAGGAGGGGGAGGAAAGGGGAGGGAGCATTTAAGTTGTCCTTAATCGTGTTCATTTATGTCATGCAATAGATCTTGCAGATGTTGCCACATTGCCACATTTTCAAAGGAAGAAATATAAAGCTTTATGGAATGCAAAGAAGTCTATGTGATATCTATGTTTTATAAGATAACAAAACCAGTATTGCTCCCCATATGCTTCACACCTCCTTTTGTTTTATTAGAAGACCATATAATTTGTAAGAATTTAATTTCCTTGTCGATTGGGGGAAGTAATAATAGCAACAACAATAATAATAATAATAACAACGATAAAAAAATCCCTCCTCCCCTAGTGAATGAATATAAATGGAAATAACAGGAACTCCAGTTTGGAATGACATGATTTATGTACGCGATTCTTTAATATCCAGTCAATTTGAATAGTGATGTTTTTATATCCACAGTCAGTTGAAGATGCCAATAACAGCGGTATGAACTTATTGGACCAGTCTGTCATTAAAAAAGGTATGGATTATTCCAACAAGCTAGACAAACTTTTACTGTGTAGCGATATCTTCATGATATATTTTGACTTTGGGGCAATGAATTTCTCCGGGAAGCAGGCACCCGTGGCAGCAAGATGAATAGTTGATTGGATCAGCAGATAGAGTGAAGGGATGCGAAAGGAAAAGTTTATATCCCCGCCTCCCCCGCCCTTCAAAGGGTTTAATTACACGAATGCTCTCTAATGGGGCACCCCGTGCTCCAGTGCAGTTCCCACCCCCCCGATAATCTTGGTGGGGACCGCTTGGCTTTTAATGGGGGAAGGGGTTGATTCCCTTTGGGGTTTAAATGCATTTCCCAGGCGAATCAAGCGCGGAGAGGAGAGCGAGAGATGCCCATGGAAAGGCAGACTCAGCCCCTTCCCCGCTCCCCCCGAGGTTCCCCCTTCCCCCAAGGTTCCCCCCTTCCCCGTGCCCATTTTTTACATCTTTCTACATATGCGCCCATGATTTAGTGTAACTGCAGAGCCACCCCATACTGTTAAAGCGAATGTGATATTAACAAATGTTTGCAGTCTCTTGTACAGCTGTAAGCAAAATAATTAACTAATTAAACTAATTAAATGTAATTACAATAACTCATTTTGGGCGTATTGCAGCTGCTTAATTTTTTTACATTTCTCTGACAGTCACTCGAAGATGCTTGGCGATTAGTGTTGTGTTATGCTGATAGACATTAAACAGATCACACGCTGCAAATGGAGGGAAAGCTATCTTTAATTATCTAAGGAGTTTCTATTTCTAGATTCAATTTTAAGTACCAGAGATGAGGTTTAAAAACGCTGTCCCTTATGCTTACTATCAACGGCACTTATCTCCAGGACCTTGTTATTTGTCAAATGCGCACAAATAGTTTAACAGCGACGATTTTCTAGGATGTAAAGAAAAATAACAGGGAGGGTGTTTATCTAAAATGTGTTGAAGGCAGCATGAGGTCCTTCCGTGTATTTATTGTTTGTTTTGTTGTTGGCTGTTTGTTTTGTTGGGGTTTTTTTTGTGTTGTTATTTTTTTTGGGTTTTTTTGGGTTGGTTTTTTTTTTAATTTCAATCTCCGTGTACGGTCTCTGTTTCACACACAAGATTAAGGTCTGGTTATTTGAGCGAGGACAAATAAAAACTTGAAGACCATTTGACAGCACCATTTACGACTATTGGTTGAAAGGTCGAAGGGTTTTGGGTTTTTCTTTTTTAAGAAATAGAAAGTTACTTAACTTTAAAAAGAAAAACAAATGCCATATGTTTCTGCTGTTTTGGTTCAGGTTGATTGTTTGGTGGGGTTTATACACAAGGTCTGTAACCTGACGGTTTCTGGTTGCATTTTTACCTTTTTTTTTTTCTCACTCTCCTCCCTCTTCCCCACCCCCACTTGACACCTCATACACTCCCTCTTGGGTGTATTTGATTAATTGGTACTTGATTTGTGGTCGAGAGACTCCTTTCTAAGGTTGCTCCGTGCTGGTCTTTTGCAGAATACACAATCCAAAATACTTTTTTTTTTTTTTTTTTTTTTTTTGAACACGCACGCCTGCGTCTCTCCCTCCTTTCAGCTGACGAGGACAGCAGAGACATTCCATGATTCCATGTGCGTGCTGGGTGGTGCAATTAGACAGCGAGTAGCACTAGAATGTGAATGCCTGCAATTATTACGTATTAGGTACAGGTTTTTATATGTATTAGGCATATATTTAGGTGTGCTTCGTGTGTGTGGGCATTGCAAGGGCCCCAGATGGAGCAGCTGCTGCCTAGAGAGACCCAGCCCCATCTAGGTGGGATTACTTGTGCCTATTTGCAGCCAGAAGAAGAGATACTCTGAGTTTACACATGATGAACAGGAGACATATGCTCTTTGGAAATAAGGTTACTAAAAAAGAGCCTGAGATGCATTGTTTAAAAGCCATTGTAGCAGCATTTTCTTCCTTAGAAGTAAGGCTGGGATCCAAGAAACTTTCCGGCATAAAGGAATATTGTATTATTTTTTCTTTATTTTTTTTGTTTATTTTTTTTTTGCACAGTGAGTTTCCTGGATGCAGAGGAACAGAAATGGGTAATAAATAGCAGGTCACATTTGTAGCAGTCAATATTTAATCAGGACGAGGGAAGGAACAACACAGAGAGCGTTCAGTATCAATTTCACGTTGTTCCCTGCAGTTTGTAGCTGTGAGGGGGTGTACTTTGAAACAAGAACAAGTTATTCAAACTCGGTGAGTCGTTCTTGCAGGCACAGACAGATAGACAGATACCCAGGTACTGACAGATTTTTGTGCAGTGGAACACTCTTGTGACTCATATTTTGTAGACCAGGGTCGCAGGGGGTCTGCTCCACCCAATCCCAGTTCAGTGCCTAAAATTCTTTAATTGCAAAGTACTGGGAAAAGTATAATGGCAACTTAAAGCTTAAACTTAATTATATCACCCAGCCTGTGTCTGTTCCTTTATGGCCTCTGAGGCCTGCAGAGGGAATTATCTCTCTATGCAAAAGGTTTGCCAAAATATTAAGGAAATTATATAGGGATTCATACAGGGCTATTGATTTATCTCACGTATCGATCCCACACAACACATTACATATACCCAGGCTCTTGTTACGTTTGCTATCTGAGCTTACTTGACATTTCTGAAGTAATTTAGTTAAGAGGAAATGAGTTGTTCCCAGTAGAGAGAGCAAACGAGTGGAGTGAAGGTAGCCAGCGTGATAAATGGCTCTTTCATTTGGAGATCTCCAGAGCTCGTTTAAGGCTAATTTTCTGTATTAGCCCCCTTTGAGCTATTAATGCAATAGGCAGGGACCGTGGCCCCTTGTCTCTTAGCTGCCCCATTAGAGTGAGCATTAAGCTACCAAGCCTGAACTCCACCGTGGTGGTGGTGGCGCTGAAATAATGAAAGGTGCTTTTTAAACTCCCCTAATCTAAACTGGCAGAGGGTGGTTAATACGATTTGAAGGGGGCTGGTCAATGAACAATCAATAAACTAATAATGAGAAGGATGCGGTACATTAACAGTCTAAAAATCCAACGAGACATTAAAAAATCATCTTTAACTCCCACTTCCATTAAGATTTGGGTGGTGGAAGTGGGAGGGAGGGAGCCAGATAAATCAGCAAGATGATAATAATTACCATTAGACATTAATATCAGATTTAACCCAGCTTTCAGACCTTACCGGCTGCACGTTTTGAGGACTTTCCCTCGAATTTTGCTGAAATGAAGGGAAGGGTTTGCCATGTGTCAGGAATAAAAGATCTGGTCCTCTTGTCAAATGCTCATCTGAAATTTCCTTGGCACTCTCTATGGTGAAAGAAGTTGTCTTTCTGTAAAACCTTACATGGCCTGAGTCCCAAGTTAATTTTTTGTGACTCTGGGGCACAGTCAGTGACCTTAAAATTATTCTGATGTATTTATTTACTTTCAGCTGTTTCTGACGATCGTCTGCACACTCACATCTGATTTAGCACGAAAGGCCATTTTAACTTGAAGACCTCAATTCATGGTCTTGCAAACACGCTCCGTTGTTCTCCCTATTTTAAGGAAGCACATGAAAGAAGGTGTCTTAACCTTTTGTTTTTAGCTGTTAATAATCCAGCACGAGTTTCCTCCCCATCCCTTGGAGCAGCTGATAAATGATTAACTGAGAACCACCCTGGCCTCAGCTTTTCAGGTGATAGATCTGGGGCTCAAGAGATGGTTGAGCCGCTCGGTTTCGTGCTTGTTCCTGGATTACCCACTGAACCTGAGGATCCCCTTTAATTAAATGCAAAACAGTTTTGAGGGAATACATTCCACCTTGAAATTTAGTCCCGGCTTTCCGGGGACGGGGACTGAGGCGAGGGAGAGGGGCAGGAGGAGAGGAAGGGAGCAGGGGGACAGAAGGAAATGCGAGATGAACACGCACTTCTTGTATTTGTTCCTTAAAATTAAGATGAGATCCGGGTCTCTTTAGTTTCAGCGTCTAAGGCGCTGCTCCCGGACGTTTTGGGCTTGGCTGCTGAGTCAGACCCAATCACCACTTACAGCAAAGTCCCGTTGTTAGCATGGACAAAGAACTTTTTACTCATTTAAAGCCCAGTAGTCAGAGTGAAAAAAAAAAAAAAGTAATTTGATAGTTTATTAGTAATTAAGTTGTCCACGATGTTTTTTTCAATAAGAAATACAAGAAATATGTCTTCTGATTGATTATTTGACTGACTGTTCTACTGCTATATTATTCAGCTGGGTTATAGCAATGATATCCATAGTTTAATCCCTTATTAAACAGCTGTTTTCAGGACATAAATCTATTATTTCTTTCGTTTTACTGTCGTCAAAACAGCTTTTTTCACCCCATTTCCACCTGTGCTTCCACATTTGTGCGCATTTTCACACGTTTGTGGCGAGCAGCCCAACAGAAAACCACCAACAAAAAAAAAAAGGAAAAAAAAAAAAAAAAGGAAAAAGGGAAAGCAAAAGCCTAAGACTTAATATATGCACAGAAAATTGTAAACATGTAAAGAACTGAAAGCTTCACGCTGAGTTTCGCCATGCTCCATTTCCCCACCATTTCCTGCTGTCGTTCTAAAGCGATCTCACTCATCTAGAGATCCCGTTTGCAGGAACAGCATGCTTATAATTACTAACAAATCAAGCGGCTACTGTTGCTCTCCCGGTTTATTGATAAGCTGAAGAGAAATGGAAGCGGGAGAAATGACAAAGAGGCTGGAAGTAACCACAGGAGGAGAGAAAGAAAAAAAAAATAAAAGAGTGAGGAAAAAGAGATAAAGGGATGGAAAAGAAGAGGGAGAAAAAAAAGAGAGACAAAGGAGGTAGAGAAGTGTAAGAGAAGGGAGAAGGCAGAGATTTTGAAAGGGGGAATTCTGTATTTGTGAGTGCTCACACACACGCAGCAAGTAGAGTTTGGGAGTGAAAGAAAATCGAACAGTTTCTGCTGGGGATGACAAGAACTAAATGGGATAAAGTGAAAGCAGGAGTGGTGGGGATGCTGTGCGGGTACGTGTGTGTTATTCGGTGTCATTTCAGCAGTTGTGGCAGTCCCTGACCAACTGGGGAAGTTGACATTGGCTAAAAATATACCCTGCATTCGGATTTATTTACATATGCGCAGGGATTTGACACATGCAGCTGCACGGACGTGGAGATCTCCTCACCCACAAAAGCTCCACGTTCTGTTATCTCTGCTGATGTCTGGGCTGTATCTGAAAAGCTCCAGCCATGACAAACATATAGATATGATATAGATAGAGATAATTCATTCCATGGCGAACACTTTTTTGAGGCAGCATTAGGTAATTTACAGAAGATACAGAGCCTAGATAGAATAGATCTCTCTGAAGCTATGAAATTGCAATAGATATGCTTACACCGCCTGGCAAGCCTCTCCAATGGGTTCAGAGCTATCAGGCTCCAGCTGATGGGTTTCTTCATGCCGTCCTTTTCAGGGAAACCCTGCTAGGAAAAGCAGCTGAGGAGCTCTCAGCATAGCAAGGAAGGGAGCCAGCCTGCTTCCCAAAAGCAATTTGCGAGGGGGAAAAAAAACCCCAACCCGAGCACGTGAAAATCCATAATTCAAAGGTTAACTAATGTAATGAGTGCTCTAAAAGGCCACAGCGAGCGGGGTGAGGTACATTTAAGCATTGCACGGGTCCTTCTCTCTTTAGTGAGTTTGGACTAAGATCAGATGTTCGTGGAATTGCTGCCTCTTGTTTAATTTCTCAGTTCACTGGACAGTGACCTGATAAACTGGTCACTAAATATAGCCACGGTAAAGGTGTACTCGAACCACAGAGCCCGTGTGTTCGTCCCAAGGAAAAAAAAATGCCAGTCATGAAAATCTGTCTGGCACTGCTTAAATCCAACTTTTTTTCCTTTAATTTCTATTTTTTTTTTCCTACTTGATACTTCACTCAAATAGATCATTGTGCATGAAATAAGAAATATATTTATGTGTAATGAGGGGGAAAATACAAATTCAATTTTTTGTTCTGCTGGTACTGCCTCTGATATACAAAGAGTCTTTTCCTATAGAATCAATTGCAAAAAAAATTTCCTAATAATAGAAATGAAATCAGGAGCGGGCCTCTAACTCTTTTATAACTGTTTCTGAGCCATTCTCAAACTATTTGAAATCTCCTTTATGAGCTGCATGAAGTGCCTAACTCAAAATAATAGAGAAATAGGAATCCATTTCACTTTCTGATTCCCTGAAGTCAAGCCACTCAAAATAATTTGTTTATACTGGAGACTATATACAAGGCATATGAAGCAATATGTATATCTAAAATCGACATGCCTTTTGGTTTTTAGCTGTTATAGAGCTTTTATTGTGGGGGTCTGGTCTGGCAGTAGGAAATGATCTGCAATAAAAACAGTGAAACACGGTTGTGTCTATTCCATGCACTGAGGTTATAAAATTGGCAATTGCCCAGTAGTTAGCACTTGTAATATATTAGGATACCCGATCTTATTGTTTAGCAGCTCCAGACGACTTAAATATCCGCTCAACCCTAATGGTTTGATTCTCCAGATATGTTGCAAATAAACAGGGCTTTTATGACTTAACTGACATGTATTATAACTACCTAAATAGCTGGCATATGTGCATAATAGAACCTTATTATTTGCCGAATTGGTTTTGCAATTGATTGAGTGGAAACGGGAGATTGTGGAGCAGTATCTGCTTGAAGAGGGTGTGTAATCAATTAGTCTTCTCCTCTGAAACATGCCCGCTGGACTGCCAGGGCTCTCCCACCAGCAAAAGCCCCAATTTCAGCGTATATTTTCTATAAGAAAACTCGTGTTGCCGTGGATCTGAGAGGAAGCTGCAGTAGCAGCTGTCAGCTCTTATTAACTCCTGCATAAAACATACCTTAAGTATGGTTTGTTATCAATTACTTGCAGAAATGAAACAACTGGGAAAATGCAGCGAGGCTCCCTATAAATTAAAGTGATTGGGTGATTGATTAGAGCACCTGCTGTAAATCATAACAGTTACACACAATTATAAGGGAGCTATTTAAGTTCATTTGTAAACAAAATTCATGTCATGGGGGAATTGCTCTCAGTTTTAGTTTAGCCAGGTTTTTTTTTCTGTTTATTTCTGAGTGTGTCTGGTTGCTATTATAGGAATTTGTTCGTTATAATCCCTTGGTTACTCTTAAAATAACCTCACTGGTTTCTCAGAAAAAAAAGAAATACTTTTTATCTTGGAGAGAACAACGTGGTTTTTTGTTTTGTTTAGTTTCCCTTTATCATTCCTCTTTTACTTTTCCCTATAACTACCTTTAAATATGTGTTGCAGTAACTAAATCAGTTTTATTTAGGGGCAGGAGAGTTCCTACTACCTCACGGACAGCACAATATGATCAGAGTGGAGAGCACCATGGTTGGACCAGATATTTTTTTCCTGGTGTTCATTTTTCTCAAGGAAAAGACTCATTTTATTTCATAAACCAGACTTAATAAAAACACAAAGCAATAACAGAGCTGTCTTCTCATTGCTGTATCCTCCAGCCTTGATACTTATTTAAGACAGCAAGTCCCTTTGTGTAGTGAATTTATTCCTGGCTCAGCTTAGCAGTAATGGAAACATTAGCCAAAAAAAAGTAAATTTTCCTCTTTTTTTCCCCTCCAGAAAGGCGCTGTCCGTTGTACAAAAGGCATCGGGGGGCTCTGGGTGAGACACAGGCTCAAACCCGAAAGTTGCCAGGTGCTTGCCAATATGTATTTTATTTCCCAATGATCAAACCCTGCATAGAGGCTGTACTGTACCACCCTTCTCTCCATCCATCATTCATGGAGCACTTTCCTAGAGGTTGGGGGAGCAGCACCCTTTAGGTTGCTGGAGGTAGCCAGAGATTCAAAACTCCCTTTCATTTTGCTGTTCTGTGCATGTCAGAGAGACTGCGGTTTTTCCTTCGTGGCGTGATGGTTTCTCTCTCCCCTCCTCCCCTTTTCTTTCTCCAGTTCCGGTTCCTCCAAAATCTGTTACTTCTTTGATGATGAATAAGGATGGTTTCCTGGGTGGAATTTCAGTCAATACCGGAGAGGTGTTTTGCTCTGTACCTGGCCGCTTGTCTTTGCTTAGCTCAACTTCAAAGTATAAAGTAACTGTGGGAGAAGTTCAAAGACGCCTTTCCCCTCCAGAGTGTCTGAACGCGTCCCTCCTAGGAGGAGTGCTCAGAAGGTAAGAGGCTGGGGCAAACGTGTGGAGGTGTCTGGGTGCCCATGCATGCACCACAAGTCCTTGGTCAGCAGTACAGATGATTTCAAACACGCATTGATCCTACTGTCAGAGCCTGTGTGTGTAATGCTGGTGATAAGGCAAAAATTTGCTGTGTTCAAACATTGGGATGTATGGAGAGTGGGGAAGGATTTGGCCTTCTTTTGCCACAAATGAAGGAACTGAGAGGAAGATTTTCTCCTCGTCCATGCACACACTTTCTATCCCTTCTCCTCCTCACACTTCTCTCTTAGAAGGTGGAAAAAATCAAATGCCATGATGAGCATGTTTTGGGCTGAACTGCAAGTATTTCAGGACCTAATGCATTTCTAGGGATTTCCTAGATAAACCCACGAGGCTTCCTCTGTATGACAGAGGAATAATAACAACCATCAGGCAATTATGTCAATTATGACACGTGGTGTCACACAAGAAATTGGAAGGGATCTGATAGGCAAACTGTAAGATAGGCAAATACCTGACTAAAGAAAAGCCACCAACAGGTAGCTCTGAAAGTCAGAAACTTAGTGCTGTCACACAGAGAAAGTTGCTACAGCTCACAGCTGGTCTCGAGGCCTTTGCTGCTTGATATTTGTTCAAATCACTCACTAATGTCCTGGTGGATTTTGCTGAAGACTTCAAAACAGTTGGCACTGTTGGTACTGAAGAAAGTGGGGAGCAAGGAATAACCTTGAGGTCCGGTTGCCACTCCATCACAACAAGTGGGAGACTGTGCTTTTGTGTAGAAGCACCAAAAATTTAAGCTCTGAGGCCATTAGGCTGGAAAGGCTACCAGGGAGAAAGGGCTTTTTCTGTTTAGCAGTGCCTGAGGGACTGTGAATTGTCAGCACGGCTTGTCTGTAGGAAAGGTGAGCTCAGACTCTATCTCCAGTCACAACAGGGGAGAAGCCATGAGGTAAAAATATGACGCACCAGTTCACACTGGGAGGGTACAAGATTTCATTTTCTGTGTGTGAAGTAGACACCAGACTGGAATAAAAATAATAATTTTTAGACAGGGACAGATGCATGCAAATTGACAATGTGTGAACTTCAGATCATGTTTAGAAGTTGCTAATCTTAGAGGAGGAAATATCTTGAAAACTCCTATAGCAGCAGCTGGGATACTTGGGCTCTAAGGCACTTTAAAATGAAGTTGGTGTTTGGGGTTCCCCCCTCGCCCCCGCAAAAAATTCTGTGATGACATCAAGGGCTCTGGCTCCGTGTCTGGAGATGAGGGGGAAAATTCTGCTACATGTGGCCAGTCACCCAAATATACATGTGAGAATTAGGGGTTCCTAAAATAGCTGCTGTTCCATGTGAATGTCTGTAATCATTGTTCAGCTGCCAGGGAGAGCAGCAGAGATTTTTACTTACAGATGCTAACCTGCCTGCTCCTTCTGTACAACTGCAAATGGAGCAGGGAGAACATCTGAGAGATGCTCTGTAGAAAATACAATTACCAAGGTAAAGAAGCATTATTATTGAACTTCAGCAGATTTCTGGACTTGGCCCAAGCCATAATTATTGGCTGCTGATGACTTCAGTTCCTATCTTGAATCTAAATTTTAAACAAGATTTTGGTTCACAGCAGATTAAATATAGAAAGCTGCTCTCTTGCAATTCTGCCATCCAGCCCTATTTACTTCGATATAAAATAGTGGGAAGCCAGTCTGGCTTCTCGGTAGTTTCTCGTTTCCTTTCTCTAAGTGTGACTTCTAATTCTTAAACAAATTTTAAGTAAGAGTTAGGAGAGAGCTGGGGTAGATTTAGTTCGTAGGTGCCAAAACTCTCCCTGACTTCGCAGGTGGCAAGATTTCATCCCCGGGGGTTTACATATGTATGTGCGTTCGAACAATAGCTCTGAATTTCCCACGTACAGCTCACTCACCCTTTTATTGCCCTTATCAGTAACCTCCAACAGATATTCCAATCTTCCCCCAGGCAATCCATTCCCTCTTTATAACGCACCCTGCCTCAGGTGAGCTCTTCCTCTCAGCATCGCCTCCTCGCACAGGAACACACTCACAGGCGGGAAACAGTTTAATAAATATTTCCCTCCTTTTCAATTTATCCACAGGCGCACACACGCTCCCTTCGAACTTTTCAGATGTATTTGTTTTTTTAACCCCTCGTCCTATTCTGGCTCTTTCCTGGAATAACAGAGGGTTTAATCTTCCTCTACCTTCCTGCCCATCCCTTTATTACATCTTAATTCAAGTTGATATCATACCCACTTGCTCTCTAGATCAGAATCTTTCCATTAATTATTGCTGTTTGGCGTTATTTGATTTCCCTGGATAAAAGCGGGAGAAAAGTGGGTTCATCCCCACTTCTACCCCTGGGAGAAATTAAGAAAATCTCAGCAAACCCGAGCAGAAATCAACACCCCCAGAGTCCTTAACGTCGAGTGAAAACCCTCCCAGGCTTCGCTGACTGCACAGACTAAACGTTTCTTCCAGGAACACTGCGGGGTTAATCACGATGTTAATTTCTTTGCAATTCTAGAGCCAAATCGAAAAACGGGGGGAGATCTTTGCGAGAAAGGCTAGAAAAAATCGGTTTGAATTTACCAGCCGGCAGGCGTAAGGCCGCAAATGTCACTTTACTCACCTCCCTGGTGGAAGGTAAGCCGAGAGTCGCAGCTCCCTTCACACCCCTGCCTGCTCCGAGCTCCTGTCTGACATTAAAAAAAAAACCCAAACAAACAAAACCAAAGAAACAAACAAACCCAACAAAACCCCTCAAACAAACAAATATAAAAACCATTAAAAATTAAAAATAAATCAAAAATATCAAACCCCACCAACTTTCGGGATCGGGTGAGAAAACCCTGTAGAGGTGAAAATCAGGGTTGGTTAAGAGGAACGCTGTCACAGTTAAGGATGATATTCCCAAAAATGAAGTCACTGGCTCGACGATCACTGATCCCTCTTGGTGGCAAGAGTGAGGGAGTGTGTCTGTGTGTGTACGTGTGGATATATGTGTGTACATTTGTGTGCATGTGTAACTCTGCAGGGCAGCCCCATTCCTCATGCTATTAATTTCCATTCTGATCTCCGACTCCAGGTCTACTCCATCTTCCCGCTAATTCTCTCCTCCTGAACTGATTTATGGCCACTACAAGGTGTTCAGTGAGGAATAGATAATACAAAATTACCTCCTTTATTATTTATTTAATTTTTTTTTTAAAGAAAGCAGAACAATTTAAGCATAGCAGAGCTCGGTTTCCCTTAAGGCGGCTGGAGCTGAACAAAGCGACCGGCTACTCCTAAGGAAGGAGAGAGGGAAGGGTAGACCGAAAGTTTCAAGTAATTTCAAGTTAACTAATGTCATTTTGGTGGCCAGCGTGTTTCTTTGATTTGTGGTTACTGTATCGACGAGGAAAAGTTAGAGCCACTAATAAGTTTAGGGTTATGTGCGTGTTTATGCTAAGAGAAGTTGGACTTCCTCCAAAAAAAACCTAATCGGAATAGTATGGATGCAATTATGAATTATATGTATCTGCATTACACATACACACCGAGAAGCGTATAAATAATCCACTTATCTCTTCTGCGTATAAAGCGAGCATAAATATTTGCGCTAGATATTAACTTTTCAACTCTTTTGATTGAGTTATGTGAGCGACAAGACCCTGCCGCTTGCAGAGCTGAAGGAAGGCTCGCGAAAAGACGGGGGCTGAGGGGCGGGAGCTGCTCCTGGCACCCGCATGTGGGTGATGCCGAGAGTGCAAGGCTCAGGGTATAGGGTTACAGGTATAGGGTCCCGCTATAGGAGGTGTCAAGCATTTTAGGGGGGCACAAGTGCCCTTGAGCGCCCTGTTAGTGCAGCTTCACTCCCGCGGTGTGTGTGGAACACCCTGCACCCTGCTCGCAGCAGCACCAGCCCCTCCCCGAGGCTGGTGTGAGGTTCAAAAGCCGGTGGGGTTGTGTAGTGATGCTAAAATCTGTGTCAAGTGTGCAGCAAGGTGTACATTCCCCTCCTCTCCCCCGATTCCCTTACAAATCAACAGTTTGCCTCCAGAGAGCTCCCTCCTTTTGGAAGAAGCTGCACCTGATAGAGTTTTATCTCGGATTTTTTTCCCCCCCCTTCTCCTTTCTGCCAGCAGCCAGGTTTAGCACAGCTGCCCCTGTATCGCCAGGAACAGGAACGCTCCGGTCGGTCCCGGCCCGCGTTGCCCGAACGCTGCCTGGGATGACCCTGCCCGGCCCGGGAACCCCCCCCGCAGGCTCTGCCGGGGGCCCTCGCCTTCATTAAGCGGTTTGATGATTAGCGAGAAGCATTGCCGAGCAGGAGATGACGTTGGAAAGCAACCCCTGACAGTTAAAAATAACGCGGTCCTGGAGTTATTAGACATACCTGCTCGCTGGAAATCTTCCCCCTCGTCCCTCGGGCGATGCTTTAAAGGGTTTAACGCTTTATTCTAGAGGGGCTGAGCTATAATCTGGTGGAATCCCTCTAGAGTCTGAGGGTTTTTTCCTCCCCCTCCTCTTTTCCTCCTTTCTGCAGCTACTGTCTTCTTCTTGTGGCATGAAGTACATCAGTAGGAGTTGATGATACAAACCTCTGTAGGCAAGAAACCTGAAACCAGGCAGGCAGGAAAAGTGAATTAGAATTAGAGTTAGAATAATAATTATTTTGTTCACAGAAAAAGTTGCCATTAGTTGTTATCTTTCCACCCGACAGACAGGAGTTCTTGTTGCACGATGGTCAGTTAAAAATGCAGATTGTTCAATTGCCATCGGGCTAAATGCAGTGATCTCCATAATTTCACAGATGTGGCGATAACTGTGATAATGATGCAAGTGCCCTGTGTGTGGATAAAGTGTGTCTATAAAGTCCCACAAAGAATTAACATTAATATGAATAATATATCTACATCTGTAACATTTTGGACAATGATCTGAGGTCTTGAAACACGAATGGTTTCTCTGCTCTTAGAGAAGTTTGGGTCCTTAGTTTTTCAGGATTTGACCAGTATCCTCTCGCATTTTCCTTTGGTCCAGTTAATTTTAAAGTTGTGTGTGTGGTGTGTGTGTGTGTGTGAACTCTTCCCTCCGTTCTGCACAAGCAGCTGATGGGTACACACCGACACGAGTGCAGTCAGCAATGACAAATCTCATCAGCTCAAGATCTGGCCCATCGACTTCTGTCCCCAAAATAGGGCTGGTGGGGGGAAAACACACAGCTGGAGCGTGTCCCTGAGGTGGAAGGGATGATGACAGGTTTCCAAACACGGCCCAAAAGAGCTGGGGTCCCCCAGGGGAGCCGTGGGTTCCGCCCAGTGTCCCGGCGGGTCGGAGCCAGCCCAGCCCGGGGCCGGCGGTGCCCGGAGATGTTAATTCCCGTCTCGTTCCCTCCAGGTGAGGCCGTTCATTTAGCTCGGGATTTTGGGTACATCTGTGAAACGGAGTTCCCAGCCAAAGCTGTTTCTGAGTACCTGAACAGACAGCACACGGACCCCAGCGACCTCCACTCCAGGAAAAACATGCTGCTTGCTACAAAGTGAGTGCCAAGTTAACTCATCCCCTTCTGCCCTTCTCGGAGAAAATCCTCCCTGTCATTAAACTCCTCCTCTGAGCCCGTTTGGAAAGCAGAGGGAATTTCCAGGCTCTAAATTCCAGCAGTGCCGCGGGGAGGAAGGATGCTCCAATCGCCCAAAGGACCTCTGCACCCCTTTGTAGTGGGGTTCCTGCCAACAGACCCTGGCCTTAGAGAGGTTATGGGTGATGCTCCCCCAGCTGTTGGACATCACTTCCAAGCTAAAGATATCCCCAGTTAAATAATTTTTATGTAAAGCGGACCAAAAATTTATATTTTGCTTCAACAGTGTGTTTGTCTGTCCCTCCTGCTGCTCGCACACACCTGTCTGTCTGCTACTAAACTGCAATGCCTTTCCCATACGTTTTAATTAAAAAAAATATATACTAAAAAAATAAGGAGAAAAATGAGAAAAAAATTAAAACCCCACCACCATGCACTGCTAATGATTCTCGATTTGGCGCCCCCAATCCATCTCTCTCCCCTGGGACTTCCTCGGTGGGTGTGTTGTATGTGATGATTTACACCAGGCTGTGCCTCCCAGGCTACTCACTGGGTGCTTCGTGGTTTGCTCGGGTGCTCGGAAGTGGGTGCTGAGTGTTCACACATCTTCGCCTGCCAGGAAAAAAAAATAAAAAAATAAAACCCCCCAAAAAGAAAAAGAAAATAAAGAAGAATCCCAGCCCAAACAGCTCTCATTTATTTCATGCTCTGGGACGTGGCTCGCCTCCGATGACAGTGTAATTTAAAGAAATATATGGAGGGTTGAAAAATCATTTGCTCAAATTTGTCCAGATGTTTCTTAGACGTGATTGGAATTTGATTGCCCTTTTCCGCAGGGTCAGAAGATATTAATGTCCCAGAACTTTAATTGCTCACAGACCCTGCTTTGCTCTTTGAAGATGTAAAATGTTGGACTCATTACTGTTTGTTCTCCAAATTCAAAGTTTCCTCTCTTGCACTTTCTTAATGGATAATACACATAGAAGTAGACCTTTATCTTTCCCCACCTCTGAAACCTTTAACCCACTGGGAATTTCAGAAAATTTCAGAGGATGAGAGCTGAATGTCTTTTTAAAGGGTTTCTCTTTCTTTTCTTTCTTTTTTTTTTTTTTTTTTAATTCTGGTCTTTTTTATCTCCAGTCCCTGGGTAGGCACCTGTCTTAAAAAAGTGATTCCTTTGGGTGTCTTAAAGAAAGTATTCCTGTGGGAACCCCACCAGCCTCCAGGGTTTCTGCATTGCCCAGGCACCTGTTGACTTGAAGGTCTTTTGGACCAGAGTAATTAAAAAGAAAATGCTTGTTTGTGAATTCGTTAGAAAAATCAAATCTGATTTTTCAAAGGTGCAGGCAAACAACCAAGAGCCAGATGTCAACTCTGATGTGTTAATTGGGGTGTCATGCCCCCAGAATAAAATGGGAAGTGCTCGCTTGGCTTCTCATGCCATGAATAAGCCAGCATGGAGTCTCCAAATCATAATTTTTCTCGCTAAAGTGGCCCAGCCTGAGCAGTCTCACAGAGGCTCTGTTTTAGCATCAGGTCCCTGTGCCACCCAATAGCTCTCAGTGCATGGCTGTGCTTTCCTTCAGGAAGGGTATTTCTGGGAGCTGCTTTGAGCCAGGGTCAGGCTCCAGGAGGATGGGTGCTTGGCAGATCCCGGACACATTTCCCTTTCAGCCTGGCTGTTTCTGAAGCCAGCAGGCAGGGCTGGGTTTTCACAGTGCTTCAGAAGCATCCCTGTGGCTGCTGGAGAGATTTGAATCTCCAGAACTGGCGTTATCCCCTGAAGAGCATCATTCTGAGCAGGGAGCTGCTGGCTCACCATGGCTGGTCCCAATAACTGCTGGGGGAAAGGATGGTGGCAAAAATGTCCCATCCTGTGTCCTGGGAACACTTTTGGCCTGAACCTGCCCCTTGGTTGTCACAGAGAATTGTTGGATGAGCCTAACAACCGCTCCTCTCTCCCTCTCTTTGCCTTTCTCTCTTCCCTGCAGGCAACTTTGTAAAGAATTTACAGATCTCTTGGCCCAGGACAGGACGCCCATTGGAAACAGCCGGCCCACCCCAATTTTGGAACCGGGCATTCAGAGCTGCTTGACTCACTTCAGCCTCATCACTCACGGCTTTGGGGCCCCCGCTATCTGCGCTGCCCTCACGGCCCTCCAAAACTACCTGACTGAAGCTCTCAAAGGCATGGACAAGATGTTCTTGAACAACAACACTGCTAACAGGCACACATCTGGCGAAGGACCAGGTAGTAAAACTGGAGACAAGGAAGAGAAACACAGAAAATGAGAGAGAGAGAGAGACAGAGAGAGAGAGAGAGGAAAAAAAAAATTAGAATGAAAGAAAGGAAAAGAAAAAAAAAAGTTAAATAAATAAAAGGAGAAGAGAGAGAGAGAGATAATCTTTTAAAACAAAACCGTCTTAATTTTAGCTTTAAAAATACTGGATTGGGCTTTGGAAGAATTCTATTAGGTAGGACAAAATAATAATAACAATAAAATAAAAATAATAATAATAAAAGAAAGACAATAATTTAAGATTAGAGGAGCACAATGGCGCAAGACCAGTGGTTCAGAGTCTCTTGCCAGGAACATGTGAAGACAACCACCAGGATTTTTTTCCCCACTTCTGTTCTTTCACATTTTTTAAAATAATGATTTGGGGGGAGGGGAATATAATAATAATTAATAATAATAATAAAAGAAAGAAATGAATAACTTATTGGAAGAAATCGGAGAAACATTTTTGGTGTCAGTGCTTTGATTTCTTGAGCTGCACGGTCTGTCTTGCTATCATTTTTTTTTTTTTTTTTTTTAATTTTTATACTTTTTCTTTCTGTTTTGAACAACGTCCTGTCTCCACCTAGACTAAAGCATTCTTCCAGAGTGTTCCTTTCTGAGCAACCCCATGGCCTCATTCCCCTCAGCTCTTCCCACCTCATCTCACCACCCTGGTTCTGTCTAGACTAGGAAAGGAGGGGAGCTCCCAGACCCCTCACCAAGCCATCAACACCAGCTGCGTTCACAGCAGCATCTTAACTTTAGGTGCCACCAGAAGGGACGCTCGGGGTCGCCGTGGCTCAGCTGAATCTGCCAGCTCTATTTTTTAAGAACTATTTTGTGTTTTTTCCTGGTCTAGACAGACTCTCTGTTTAGATTGGCAGCGTTTACAGGTGTGTCTGGGTGCGTGTGTGCCTCTGTGTGTATGTGCACACCCGACTCCCCAGGGGGGCGCGGGTATCCTGTGTATGTTTGTGGATATATATGTATATATGTGGATATATACATATATATATATATATATAAAATATGTGTGCGCAGCCACGCATATCAATGCATGCAAACATACCTTTGTAATTTAGTAATTTTGTCTTTGATGGTAAAATGCCTTGTCTATGATGGGTTGCAATATTTTGGAAGTAAGGTCTGGTACAATGTCAGCGCTATCTGATTTCTTAATTTTCTGAGATCTCCTCTTTTTCTCTAGGGAGTTTTATATTCCTAACTATGCCAATGTTTCAGTCCTTAATTTCCTTGATTAGTGTGTGTGAGAGAGCTCTTCCCCCATTTTTAAAGAACTGTTAACAACTACAAAATTAGTGATATGAGTATGTAATTCTTTCTCAGGAGTATGCACTATTTTATTTTCTTCTGTTTCCTAAAGCTTTGCCCGCTTGGCTTATGAGCTTCTTCAAAGAGGACTAGAGATCCCTACACAATATATCAGGTACAGAGAAAAAAATCCACAATTCTGATATTCTGATACTTTTTATTTTTTGCTTTTTTTGCTTTTTCAAATCAAAGCCAGTTGTTACTGAATTCTGTAGGTGCACTTCTTTAAAGAAGCTCAAAGGGAATAATTTGAACGAGATAAAAATATAAGTTGAAATCGAGGTGTACTGTTGCAAAGAGAATAAGAGCTGTGTTGAATGTTACGGCACTTGCTTGGCACTAGGGTTTTGTACCCAGGGAGGAAAGGGTTGCCATGTGAGCTGGCTCCTCGTGATGGGAGTGGGGAGGGTTTGCCAGGGAATATCCTGATTTCTGAGCTCAGTCTGAGGAAATCTGTTTCTCTTAGAAAGCTTTTTTTGAAGAAAAAAAAAAATCTTGTGACTCTTGCTTTAGAAAAGTCGGTGTGGTAAGGGGGGCAAAAACCTCTAAACTCCAATGTTTTTCTTGGTGGTTTGGTGTCTGACAGGATATTTTATGCATATGATTTGGGGTGGTGGGGGTGAAGGACGTCTTATTTCTTTCCTCTCTCTTTTTTTTTCAACATACATTTCTCTGTCTTCTCTGGTAAAAATAATGCTGAAGTGTAAGGAGATGACTTTCTGTTTGGATTCTGCCATGCCGGGTAATTTCATGTGTTTCTCAGTGGGGTAGGGCTTGTGCACTAACACATCTTTTTGCTTATGTCAGAACTGGGTGTGGGTACATCTCCTGGAGTCACTGGCAAAATTCCAGTGGGGTCAGGCCTTCCCCTAAGATCCCTGTGAAAGCTGCAGGATTCAGTCCCACCATCCCAAGCAGGCACACCTGAACTCAAAACAAGAGAGAGGGAGAGAAATCTTAGCCTTGCTTTAATTTTGAGAGACCTTCCAAAGTGGATAGTGAGGGGGAAATAATTCAGCAATACTCCCAACATCCCTTGATGAAATGTTCTCAAAACAAAAGTGCAAACAATCCTCTTGTCCCCCTTAGTGCCCTTGGCTCTCTGAGACATGGTTACAGCTGAGAGCCTGTCTGCTGGTCAAATCTTCATGCAGCTAAGTCTCAGCTCTTGTTCTCTACCTGTGATTTGGGCACATGTGGCAATAGAAATCCAGGGATCATCCAGCCCCAAGGAGCACTGGCCCCTCCTGATCTGCTCCTTGCTCATGCACCTCTGGTTCTTCTGGGGCAGTGTGCTGTGGGGGCTCTCCTGTGAGAAAAGAGGGGAACTGAGGCAGGCAGCTTCTCCATGGGCTGTTGGGATGACTTGGAGGCAGCCTTAGACCCTGGCATGTGCCTGCCAGTGGCTTTGGTTGTGGCAGGGATTGTCACATCCCTGTGGATGTCACCAGAGGAGGTGGGATGGTCAAACCATGGATCCCCCACCAGCAGGCTGGGGACCCCCAGACTGAGAAACAACATCCAGGCATCTCCCAGTCTTCCAAATCTTACACCTTGCCAACCACCCCAAAGTTCATCAGGCTTCTGAGGAAGGACAATCCAGGCTCCAGTGTAGGGCATGGCCCAGCAGAGATGCAAGGGGAAGGGAAAGAGGGGATCTGGGAGGAACAAACGGCCCCACCTGGAAGCACAGTTCCCTTCTCTGCCTGATGGGAATATCCTGTTTATTGGAGCAGCGCACTAAGTGTTGGATGTTGCCTTGCCTTGCCCCTGCAAATAGGATTTGTGAGGAGCCTGTGGGTCCAGCCCTTTAGCATCACCCAGCCCAGTGGGGCTTTTGGGTGTGGGGGGGACCCCAAATTAGCTCTCAGTCTTCCACATGCCCAGCTGCATGTGCAGGGCCATGGGAACCTGTCCCCTGCCACCCCAGAGCTTCCAGATGAAGGCTTTGGGGCCATGCTGGGAATGGCATTTCCTTGTCTTTGGGGAAATGTAGGGGATTCTCCTTTTAACTGCAGAGGACAGTATCCCACCACCACTGTGAGTTCATGGGGAGAGGCAACCCTTGGAACTTCCAGGGGAAAGACTTACAGGTGTGAGGGCTTGGTCCTGCTGCTGCTGAAATCTCCCCTAGACACAGGTGTGGTCACCTGGACCACGACCTAAGCCTTGAGCAGGCTGAGGGAAGAGTTTCAGTCTGTCCCTCGTGTCTGGAGGAGACAAACTGCAAATCCCAAGCTTTGCAGTGCTCAGGCGAAATAAAACCAAATTCCCTTTGATTGCAGTACGATGCCCTCCCCCCATTTGCTCCCCAAAGTGTGGAGACAAAATTCACGAGATTTATGATTTAATGCAATCAGGCAGAAAACAGCAGAGGAGCACATCTCTCTGTCCTTCCCCCCAGCCTAGTGTTGGTCCCAGAGGGAATTATCCATTGCTTGGTGGCTCCTATCAGTGCTGAGTACCGAGGTCCCCCCAAAACTAAACTCAGCCTCCTTCTGGAAGGTATTTTCCTGCTCCCATCCACTTTCCCAGCCTGACTACTTCTGTTGGCGGGGCACGTCAGACGTTTATCTGATAATTGAGTTATTAAAAGATTTGGTTTCCTCGGGATCATAAATCAATAAACAGGAGGATTAACACGGCAGCTTTGCTTTGTAACTCAAGGGAAAAGTTTGAGGAGAGACCATGAAAAGTTTGTTTTCAAACCAAACAGGTGGGTTGCTGTAAATTTTATTTCATTCTTAGTTTTTTTTTTTTTTTTTTTTTTTTTTTTTTAATAACAATTCTTTATTTGCCGTTGGAAAGATCTTTATTTTCATATGCTCCCTGACTTTTTTTTTTTTCCTGGTTGTTATTCACACAAGATGTGATGGAAACAAGAAGCCAATTTTATGAGAATCCTTTTACAACCCGATGGTTTCTTTAAAATCGGGTTGTGTCTTGTCCCACCTAATAGAAATTCTCTGTGAGAAGCTGTTTAAAGTCCCTTTGCATCCCAGACCAATCTCTCCCCAAATCCCCAGATTTGCATTTGGGGCTGGGAGGGAGCGGGGGAAGGATGGTTTTAAGACCTTTAGCTGTGCCCAAAGGGCTTATTCCCTTCCCCTGCTCCTCTCTTTCTGACCGGTTTATCACACAGACCTGTCGGGCTCTGTTTTAATACATTTCTCGGAGAATTTGGTGCTTGTTTCAGCTGCCGTAAGCATTTACCAGATCGACCCAGGCAACCTCCCCCTCCCCTCCGGCTTCCCTGTGTGAGAGAGACCGTAGGCTTTTTACAAATAGTATATTTTCTTATACAAAGGGAAAAAAAATAAAAGAAAACATCCCCAAACACACTGGCAAATGCCTGAACATTTCGAGAGAGAGAGACGGAACACTGTGTGCCAGCGAGAAATAAAGGCAAAAAAAAAAGAAAAAAATAAAAGACCCAAACAAATGCAAAGCTCTGAAAAAGCGAATGAGAAACTGTAAAGATGAAAGAAAAAAATAATAAAATATTCTCCTTTTATGCCCCAAACGATCCCTTTCACCTCCTCTTCTTGAAAAATCTGACCATGCAGTGAGAAATATCAGTTTATCGACTCTTCCTGAGAAGAAATGCGGAGAGGCATTCAGTATTGAGTTTGTATATATTTATTTATGCTTAATTTAACGGGAATGTGTAAATACGGCGAG